TTTCTCCATCTATTTGTGTCCTATTTGATTTCTTTCATCAGTGTTTTATAGTTTTCTATATATAGGTCTTTTGTTTCTTTAGGTAGATATACTCCTAAGTATTTTATTCTTATTGTTGCAGTGGTGAATGGTATTGTTTTCTTAATTTCTCTGTTTTCTCATTGTTAGTGTATAGGAATGCAAGGGATTTGTGTGTTAATTTTATATCTGCAACTTTACTATATTCACTGATTAGCTCTAATAATTTTCTGGTAGAGTCTTTAGGGTTTTCTATGTAGAGGATCATGTCATCTGCAAACAGTGAGAGTTTTACTTCTTCTTTTCCTATCTGGATTCCTTTTATTTCTTTTTCTGCTCTGATTGCTGTGGCCAAAACTTCCAAAACTATGTTGAATAGTGGTGATGAGAGTGAGCACCCTTGTCTTGTTCCTGACTTTAGGGGAAATGCTTTCAATTTTTCACCATTGAGGATATTTGCTGTGGGTTTGTCATATATAGCTTTTATTATGTTGAGGCATGTTCCTTCTATTCCTGCTTTCTGGAGGGTTTTTTTTTTTTTTAATCATAAATGGATGTTGAATTTTGTTAAAGGCTTTTTCTGCATCTATTGAGATAATCATATGGTTTTTATCTTTCAATTTGTTAATGTGGTGTATTACATTGATTGATTTGTGGATATTAAAGAATCCTTGAATTCCTGGGATAAAGCCCACTTGGTCATGATGTATGATCTTTTTAATATGTTGTTGGATTCTGTTTGATAGAATTTTGTTAAGGATTTTTATATCTATGTTCATCAGTGATATTGGCCTGTAGTTTTCTTTTTTTGTGGTATCTTTGTCTGGTTTTGGTATTAGGGTGATGGTGGCGTCATAGAATGAGTTTGGAAGTTTACCTTCTGCAATTTTCTGGAAGAGTTTGAGTAAGATAGGTGTTACCTCTTCTCTAAATTTTTGGTAGAATTCAGCTGTGAAGCCATCTGGTCCTGGGCTTTTGTTTGCTGGAAGATTTCTGATTACAGTTTCGATTTCCATGCTTGTGATGGGTCTGTTAAGATCTTCTATTTCTTCCTGGTTCAGTTTTGAAAAGTTATACTTTTCTAAGAATTTGTCCATTTCTTCCAAGTTGTCCATTTTATTGGCATATAGCTGCTGGTAGTAGTCTCTTATGTTCCTTTGTATTTCAGTGTTGTCTGTTGTGATCTCTTCATTTTCATTTCTAATTTTGTTGATTTGGTTCTTCTCCCTTTGTTTCTTAATGAGTCTTGCTAATGGTTTGTCAATTTTGTTTATCTTTTCAAAAAACCAGCTTTTAGCTTTGTTGATTTTTTTTCTATGGACTCTTTTTGTTTCTTTTGCATTTATTTCTGCCCTAATTTTTAAGATTTCTTTCTTTCTACTAACCCTGGGGTTCTTCATTTCTTCCTTCTCTAGTTGCTTTAGGTGTAGAGTTAGGTTATTTATTTGACTTTTTTCTTGTTTCTTGAGGTAAGCCTGTATTGCTATGAACCTTCCCCTTAGCACTGCTTTTACAGTGTCCCATAGGTTTTGGGTTGTTGTGTTTTCATTTTCATTCGTTTCTATGCATATTTTGATTTCTTTTTTGCTTTCTTCTATGATTTGTTGGTTATTCAGAAGCATGTTATTTAGCCTCCATATGTTTGAATTTTTAATTTTTTTTCCCTGTAATTGAGATCTAATTACTGCATTGTGGTCAGAAAAGATGACTGGAATGATTTCAATTTTTTTAAACTTACCAAGGCTAGATTTATGGCCCAGGATGTGATCTATTCTGGAGAAGGTTCCGTGTGCACTTGAGAAAAAGGTGAAATTGATTGTTTTGGGGTGAAATGTCCTATAGATATCAATTAGGTCTAGCTGGTCCATTGTGTCATTTAAAGTTTGTGTTTCCTTATTAATTTTCTGTTTAGTTGATCTATCCATAGGTGTGAGTGGGGTATTAATGTCTCCCACTATTATTGCATTATTGTTAATTTCCCCTTTCATACTTAGCATTTGCCTTACATATTGCGGTGCTCCTATGTTGGGTGCATATATATGTATAATTGTTATATCTTCTTCTTGGATTGATTTGTTGATCATTATGTAGTGTCCTTCTTTGTCTCTTTTCAGAGCCTTTATTTTAAAGTCTATTTTATCTGATATGAGTATTGAGACTCCCGCTTTTTTTGGTCTCCGTTTGTGTGAAATATTTTTTTCCAGCCTTTCACTTTCAGTCTGTATGTGTCCCTAGGTTTGAGGTGGGTCTCTTGTAGACAGCATATATAGGGGTCTTGTTTTTGTATCCATTCAGCCAGTCTTTGTCTTTTGGTTGGGGCATTCAACCCATTTACATTTAAGGTAATTATTGATAAGTATGATCCTATTGCTATTTACTTTCTTGTTTTGGGTTCAAGTTTATAAACTTTTCCGTGTTTTCTGTCTAGAGAAGATCCTTTAGCATTTGTTGAAGAGCTGGTTTGGTGGTGCTGAATTCTCTGAGCTTTTGCTTGTCTGCAAAGCTTTTGATTTATCCTTCATATTTGAATGAGATCCTTGCTGGGTAAAATAATCTGGGTTGTAGGTTTTTCTCTTTCATCACTTTAAGTATGGCCTGCCATTCCCTTCTGGCTTGAAGAGTTTCTATTGAAAGATCAGCTGTTATCCTTATGGGGATCCCCTGGTGAGTTATTTGTTGTTTTTCCCTTGCTGCTTTTAATACTTGTTCTTTGTGTTTGATCTTTGTTAATTTGATTAATATGTGTCTTGGGGTGTTTCGCCTTGGGTTTATCCTGTTTGGGACCCTCTGGGTTTCTTGGACTTGGGTGGCTATTTCCTTCCCCATTTTAGGGAAGTTTTCAACTATTATCTCCTCAAGTATTTTCTCAAGGCCTTTCTTTTTGTCTTCTTCTGGGACTCCTATGATTCAAATGTTGGGGCATTTAACATTGTCCCAGAGGTCTCTGAGGTTGTCCTCATTTCTTTTCATTCTTTTTTCTTTTTTCCTCTGTGCTTCATTTATTTCCACCATTCTATCTTCCACCTCACTTATCCTATCTTCTGCCTCATTTATTCTACTGTTGGTTCTCTCCAGAGTGCTTCTGATCTCAGTTATTGCATTGTTCATTATTGACTCTATTTTATTTCTTCTAGGTCCTTGTTAAACTTTTCTTGCATCTTCTCAATCCTTGTGTCCAGACTATTTATCTGTAACTACATTTTGCTTCCAATATTTTGGATCCTTTTTACTATCATTATTCTGAATTCTTTTTCAGGTAGACTCCCTATCTCCTCCTCTTTGGTTTGGTTTGGTTTGCTTTGTTTGGGCTTTTATCATGCTCCTTTACCTGCTGAATATTTCTCTGCCTTTTCATCTTGTTTAGGTTGCTGTGTTTGGGGTGGCCTTTCTGCATGCTGGAAGTTTGTGGTTCCTCCTCATTGTGGAGGTTCCTCCCTGTGGGTGGGGTTGGACGAGTGGCTTGTCAAGGTTTCCCGGTCAGGGAGGCTTGCGTCTGTGTTCTGGTGCGTGGAGCTGGGTCTCCTCTCTGGTGTGCAACGAAGTGTCCAGCAGTGAGTTTTGAGGGTTCTGTGGGTTTGGTGTGACTTTTGGCCACCTGTATTTTTGTGCTCAGGGTTATCTTCCTGCGTTGTTGGAGAATTAGCTTGGTATGTCTTGCTCTGAAACTTGTTGGCCCTTGGGTGGAGCTTGGTTTCAGTGTAGGTACGGAGGCTTTTGGATGAGCTCTTGTTGATTAATGTTCCCTGGAGTCAGGGGTTTTCTGGTGTTCTCAAGTTCTGGACTTAAGCCTCCTGCCTCTGGCTTCCAGTCTTATTCTTACAGTAGCCTCAAGACTTCTCCATCCATACAGCACCGATGATAAAACATACAGGTTAATGGTGAAAAGACTCTCCACAGTGGGAGACACCCAGAGAGAGTCACAGAGTTACATGGAGAAGAGAAGAGGGAGGAGGGAGATAGAGGTGACCAGGAGGAGAAGAGGGGGTATCAAAAGGGGGCAGAGTAATCTAGTCAGTAATCAATTCCCTATGTGCTCTCCACAGCCTGGAACACTCAGAGTGGTTCACAGAGTTCCATAGAAAAGAGAAGAGGGGGGAAGGAGATAGAGGTGACCAGGAGGAGAGGAGGGGGAGTCAAAAGGAGAGAGACCAATCTAGCCTGTGACCAGTCCCCTAAGTGTTCTCCACAGCCCAGAATACCCAAAGGGATTCAGAGTTAAGTACAGAAGAGAAGGGGGAGGGAGGAGATAGAAGTGACCTGGGTGAGAAAAAGGAGAGTCAAAAGGGGAGAGAGCAATCAAGCCAGTAATCACACTCCTAAGTAAAAATGGGTACTGAAGACTGGGTTCTTAAAGGTACAGAAATGATAACAAATACCAAAAAGCAAAGATTAAAAATTTAGAGGTTAGACTCTCAAAAATACAATACTAAAAAAAAATTGCAGAAATTATTTTAAAAATATATGAAGTTTGCTTTAAAAAAGGGTCTTTTTTTTTTTTTTGCAAGGTAATAGTATGTTTCAAAAATGAAAATTAAAGGACTAATAAAGAACTTAAAAATTTTTAAATTAAAAAATGATAATAGTAAAATATATCTAGGAATTTCTCTGGAGCTGTTGGGGGCAGTATGGGGTCATCTCAGTTTCAGATAGTTCCTTCAAACAGCTTATACTTCTCAAGGTCTATAGGTCTATATACTATAGGTCCCTTCCAATGTAGCCAATGCTAACTACAGGGTTTTAATCTGTTGCACATGTCACTTCCAAAGCAGTTCCCTCTTTGTTTATTTTGGCTTCCTCTGCTTGCAAGTCTCTTCAGTATCTTACTTCTGCCCTGACACAAGGGGGTGAAGATGGTCATTTAGTTAGGGTCACTCATTCAATTGTGCTGCAGGGAGGGAGGAACATTGGAAACAAATGTCACTGGCGTGTGTGGGGAGTGCTCACAGTGTCTGGGCCACATTGGGTTTGCCCCTGCTCACAGCATGTGTGCTTTCCCAGTCTACACTGCTCAGGCTCCAGATTGCTCGCAGGGCAACTGTCTACGGTGGGCCCTGGGTTGCATGCACTTCCCAGGGCTAAGCCGCTCAGGTTCGGGTTCTCGGGTACTCCACAAAGACACAGACTCGGTCGGGCCTGCGCTTTCTGCCCTTCCCAGGTCCGAGCAGCTCAGGGACCAGGTGCTTGGCGAGCGCACACTCCCCAGGTGGGCGGTGCGTCTTATCACCTTCCCCGCCCCAGCCACTCGGTTTCCTGGGTGCGCAGTGGGGGCACTGTCTCAGGTGTGCCGTGTGTCTCCTCTGGGGGGCTGATCTCTGGCTGCGAAACTCCTGGCGGATGTCAGCCGTCCAGGGTCCCAGGAAGACTTGGCTAGCAACTGGGAGCCTGCTCGCAGTTTGGTGGAGGACGCCGTCTCTGGGGCCGAGTTTGCCCCTCGCCTTCCAGCTCTGGCTGGCACCCACCTGCCTCCGTGCCTCCAGCGAGGGATGGGCCAGTCCGCGGTTGGCTAGCTCTCCTCTGGTATTTGCTCAGTCCTTTGTTCTGTGAGCGGCCTGGCAGTGGCTGAGGTTAGAGCTTTTCACTGCTAAGTTCTCTCTTTTTTCTCTCTCTCTCTGGCTATCCCATGGTTTGGGTTGCTATCTCACGTTAGCTCCCTCAGATTGCCCTCAGGGTATTCAGGTCTGGTGCTTACCCTAAGCAATGCAGCCCATGCTTCCCTGTTCAGCCCCCGCTTGCTGGTGGTGGACACCAGTGTTTGGGCTACTTCTCCATTGGGAGTTGCAGTTAGGCGTGCAATCTCTGGGTTTTGTTTATTTTCTCCTCCTGGTTATGTTGCCCTCTGAGATTCCAAAACTCCCCACAGACCCGCCAGTAAGAGGGTTTCCTGGTGTTTGGAAACTTCTCTTTTAAGACTCCCTCCCTGGGTTGGGTCTCCGTTCCTAACTCTTTTTGTCCCTCTTTTTATATTTTGTCCTACCTCCTTTGGAAGAAAATGGGCTGCCTTTCTGGGTGCCTGGTGTCCTCTGCCAGTGTTCAAAAGTTGTTTTGTGGCATTTGCTCAGCGTTCAAATGATCTTTCATTGAATTTGTGGGGGAGAAAGTGGTCTCCCCGTCCTATTCCCCCACCATCTTAGGACCGCCCCTGATCTTAGTTTTCTGAATGTTGAGTTTTAAGCCAACTTTTTCACTCTCCTCTTTCATCAAGAGGCTCTTTAGTTCTTCTTTGCTTTCTGCCCTAAGTGTGGTGTTGTAGATAAACTTAATTATCTGCAGCCAACCCAGCATCCACCCCCTCACCCCGCCCCATGGCCCTTCTTAAGGTCTTATCGTCATTGCAAAGATGCCAGTCAGTTTATCTGTCAGGATCCCCTTCCCCTATGGTTTGTTAGTAGAAGACAGGCACTCACGTGAGACTTGTAAACGAGAAGCCATTTATCTCTGGACGCAGTCACAGCCAAATGTGTGGGAAAATATCACAGCAACCTTCCTGAGAGTTGCAGGAGCTTTAAAAGATTCAGAACTGCTGGCTTTCTTGACCTTCAGTGGGAGCTTTCTCTGACCTGCTTCCCCACTTCTTCCAATGTTTACATTAAGCCCCTAATTCCTATCTCAAGTCCTTCGCATCTAAAATACACTGAGTGGCTTCCGTAATCCTAATACAATGCAGCTCTCAGTTGATCCTAGGATTTACTCAACCTTTTGCTGTAAATTGGCCCTATTGAAACTCAGATAGGTAACAGCTCTACCCCAAAGCATTTAGGGCCAGTGCTAGGGGAGGGGATACTACGATAACTTTTCTCCCCTCGGTGCCAGAAATGTCTTTGGTTATGAAGCACACAGAGGTAGGCCTGTGTGGGCCTATCTGGGCCTTTCTTTTCAACTGCAGTTTTCAGATTTGTGAGACATTCTACTTCTACCTTTAAGGGAATATTTAGATGTAGGAAGGGCAGAGAAAGACTCACAAGTTGCCAAGAAGCAACCATTCAGATTAATAAAACCTGACAGTGGGACCCAGATATTGTGGATGACTAGTCTCCATCTGGTGGACACCACTGGTTTTCCTCACTAGGATGCAAACTCCATAGGGTGCAAGGGTTTTGGTCACCAGCATACCCCACCCAACCAGAGTGCTCAGTCAACACTTGTCAAATGGATAAATGGCCCCACAGAACTGGGACGTGACATGCTTGTTGGAGTCTGAGATGCCTCACAAGATCCAATAGATGTTACAGGTGTCTCATCCATGTTCATGGTTATGTCCCTGGCTCTAAGATGCTGTACTGTTATCCAATTTAGAAGAAAGAACAATTTTTTAACAAGCAAAACTCTGATCTGTGTCTCCTTACAACTTTCTGCTCTTTCTTCATGATAGGGAAGGTTTGCTGTAGATTTAGTTATCACAGGGGGAACTTTCAAAAATGGCACCACTATGTTTTATTTAGCCTGCTGCTGCTGCTACGTCACTTCAGTCATGTCTGTGTGTGGCCCCACAGACGGCAGCCCACCAGGCTCCTCCGTCCTTGGGGTAATCCAGGCAAGAACACTGGAGTGCGTTGCTACTTCCTTCTCCAATGCATAAAAGCAAAAGTGAAGTCACTCAGTTGTGTCTGCCTCTTCGTGACCACATGGACTGCAGCCTACCAGGCTCTTCCGTCCATGGGATTTTCCAGGCAAGAGTACTGGAGTGGGTTGCCATTGCCTTCTCCAATTTAGCCAATTAAGGAAACCTTAAACAATCCACTATTCTTATTATGTTGTCATGTAGACAATGCAAACTGTAGATGTAAACAATGTAAAAAATGGAAAGGATGATCTCAGAATTTTTAAATGGAATAAATTTGACATTAGGGATAAATTGATCACAATTTTTTTTTTTTTTCAATTTCACTTTAGATTTGGTTTGGTACTTGAGAACCCCTGATCACATTCAACTCTCTCATCCAAAATGTAAGTGTGGGCACCTTTTGTTAGGTGCTGAGGATCGAAGAGTCAGAAGATAGGTTCCCTTCTTGCCTTGGGAAGCTAACGTCAGTTTTTTGATGTCACAAACACTGGCCGCAGTTGAGAACACAACACATCTAAGCCGGTTCGACGGGGAAGAGGAAATTTCCAAGTAGAAATGCCTTTTACACTATGACCTCAGAGTCAGCAGGAGTTACCCAGAGAAAACCTGGGGGAGGGAACACATTCCAGACTGAAGACAAATGACCTTGCCCAAGTCATGCAAGTGCAGGGGCAGAACAAGAAAGGACACACCAGGGCCCTCTACTAGCAGCGATGCCTTTTTGCTGAAGATCCTCAATGTAGATTTATTTTCTTCCCTGCACCCCATCTCTAAATTGATTAAATGAAGTCTTGACAGCTTAGCATTTATGGAAAACTGACAACTTGAAATCTCACCTCCACTTGAGCTAAATTAAGTTCCCAATAATTACCATCTCTGTATTTTATCAGGGGCTCAGTTCTTTGCTTAAAAAAAAAAAATGAGAACTTTATCAAAAATCATTGCTATTCGTTGGGTTCAGGCTGGAGTGAGTTGGGATGGGAGTCAGGATGGTCAGAAAACAAACCACACGTATTGCTGCTTCTGGAAGCTTTGTTCTTTAATGAGCCATGGAGTGACCTGTCCATCAAGCTGCTCTTGTGTAGCCATACAGTGCGTATTTTGAGTGGCACAAACTGCACTTTATACAACTGATGGCCCCAGCCCCACCCCCTGCCAAAAAAAAAAAAAGGAAATTACAAAGTGCCTGTTGATTGCATCAGGAATGTAATCAGTTCTGTGGGTGAGACAAATCATTCTTTGTATAGAATTATTCTATTAAACAGTAAAATGATATTATATTTCACAGGCTATGTCCTTTTACAATAGATAGTCTTTTATAAATTTACACTCAGTATATTTATATAAATTACTTTAAATTCATTAATATAATACTTATCTGTAGTCCACACCTTTCCCTTAGTAAATACAATTACTTGGTTCCAAAGGTGCAACTTTTACATGACCTAAGAGGGATGATAAATAGGCATTCAGTATGGATTGAAAGCAAGGTGATGGACCCCTTAGTGGGGCTTTTTTCACAACAGTTTCAACTAAGAGACCAACAAGACCTAATAGATCCACCTTCGTAGTCACTATTTTGCCCTTTATCACCAGATAAGATGTGGGAGCAGTTCCAGAGAAAAGTGGGTAAACAGTATTTTAGGGGCATAGAAAGATAGCAAAGTCAAAGTGTTAGTCAGTTGTGTCTGACTCTTTGCGACCTCATGGACTGTAGCCTCTGTCCGTAGAATTCTCCAGGCAAGAATACTGGAGTGAGTTGCCATTCCCTTCTCCAGGGCATCTTCCCAACCCAGGGATTGAATCCAGGTTTCCCACATTGCAGGCAGACTGTTTACCATGTGATCCATCAGGGAAGCCCTGAGAAAGACTCCCACAACCACCAAGGAACTTTACTACCAAGGCTAACATGGTATTGGGGGATAGTGCCAACTGTCACAGAATTATGGGGAGCTGTCCCACAATTATGGGTAGACAAACATATCTGTCAGGACCGAATGATGCTGTGTTGGTCAACACAGAATGACCAAGAGGGGGGAAAATGAGAGAGAGGAGAATAAGGAAAGCCAGCTGGAGTGTTTCCTTCTTAAAATTCTCTGAGCTTTGAACACATCCTGAGAATATTTTCTTCTCTCTTGTTCACCAAAGTGCTTGTGAAAGGTACACATTCCTCAGTTAGAGTTTAAAAAAGAAAAATGTGGCCCACAGGCACTGAAGTGGGCCTGCAGAACCTTGCTGGAGCTCCTATTTTCTGCATGCTTCTGGGATCCTCCATCTTTGACAGTGAAAACAACCCTACTGTGATGGAAGACAGAAGTCTCCACTAACTCCCATGATAAGGGAGGGCTCTTATATCGCATCCTCTGACCGAATTCAGGTCCCTCTGCCTCCACAAGGCTCATACTGGGCTGTTATCTTCTTTGTGTTCGCAGAAACCCAGAGTGGCACAATAAATAAAATGGCAGGAAGTACACAGTGCATTACAAATGAAGCAAGTCACCTTCCTGAATCCTTTCTGTATTTACTTCACTTTGTGTATACACACTTTGACCCTACAGTTATACTTTTCTGCTTCCATTACATTTTCCATGATAAGGGATATGTTGGCTTTAATGGGGAGAATTAAAACTCCAGGCTGTATCTGGGGCTGAGAAGGTGTGGTAAGAAGAGAATGCTCTGCATTTTAGAGCATGGGCTCCAAATCAGCGGCTGCCTCTGTGCTGCCACACATGGGATTCCTTTGAGGCATTTGAGATCAAAGAAAATGAGCAAAGGAGAAGCAAATAGAAAACACACATTTGACACATACAGATGTTAAATATCTTAATTATAAGTGATTGTAATGCAGCATCGGCTTGTGGTAATGTAACATGAACCACAGAGATGACTGGTTAAGATCAGAGGAGAGGAGAGACAGCACTTGGTTCCGACAGCTGTTAAGTGTTATGGCTTCATCTTTTTCAGGCCAACAATGCCCATTATTCTAGAGAACAGCAGCATGCTTTCCTTCAAAGGGAGGGTCCCGCCTTTGCTCTCCATTCTTAGCATTCCATGCATCTCCCTTTCCCCACCCCTCCATTCTGACAGCTTGTTAAATGACTAGAAATCCACAAATCTAGCAACTGAAAAACAAATATTTATTTAATGTTATCCAAATTCAGGTTTTAGGTCCCTGAGAAAAAATTATAAAGTCTCTTAACATCCATCACCTGGTTCCTATAAAGTGACCTATATGAGTAGTTTATTTATTTATTTTTTTTTAACTGCAAAAACTTATTTTGCAAAATAGCAACAAAACAAAAACTCCACAAAGATTTAGAAGGGAGACTGTATGCCAAGATGTGTTTCCCAGGCCATTCCTCTAAGCCAAAGAAAACTATTCAACAGGGGTAATCGCTTTTTTTTGGTAATGTCCTGGAACAAGTGGAAAGGAGTACTCGACAGCGGCTGAAGACCACCTTCCCAAGGATAATGGGAGAGGCTGTGCCTGGCACAGGGACTGGGGTACCCACGCAGACACAACCATGCTGAGGGGCTGGGTTCTGCTCTAGGAGATTCTCTGGAATTCAGATTCTTAAAGACTTTATTTACCTTTATTACTCCTCAAGGCAGCATGAACAAGGTGGCAGATGTTTGCAGGCTATAAAATCGAACACGTTTAGTTACTAGCCATCATCATTCTGGAAACTGACAAAGACTCCTTTTCCCGAGGTCATTCCTGAACCCCACCAGGGAGAGGAAAGCCGCCTGCTTCCTGGGGCTGCCACTCGGGGTGATATTTGCGTCCGGCCTCTGGGGCTCGACAGCAGCCACAGAGGCAGTGGCGTGAGGGTCGCTGTTGTGTAACAGGAGAGACTCTGCCTTATTAATGAAAGTCCTCAGGTTTCTGTAACTTCATCTCAAAGAAGTATGAAAAGGAAGAATAACCAAAATTCAGGTTACAGACGGTAAAGGCTCTTTTTTAGAACAGTGCATGTGGTAGTTAGACAAGATGCATTTAGTAACTTTAAAAAAGAAACATTTTCACATATTTATCTCAAGAAAGGGCATCATGTTTCATTTCCCATATATTATAAATAGCAAAAACAGACTTCTAATCCCACAAATACTAAGAAGCTTAAAATGCTTTTATAGCTCAGGTACATGGAGACACCCAGTGGTGAGGAAAATGGTTTGACTTTTCCCTCAACCCAGGGATATCCGGCTCTCACCACCACATCCAATGGCCCTTAATCTGTGGGAAGAAATTCTATGGGGAGGGAGGAAGCATAAAGTTAAAAAGAAATATGCACACTATACATATATATATTTACAGTAAACTTCAGTAACCAGAATATTAACAAAAATAGCTTCAAGTAGTCCTTGATTTTTTAAAATCTATTTAATACTGATGGTCTGAGGAAAAAAGATAAAAGCTAGATGGGTCATATTAAAAACTTTTCTTTTTTGGCAGCTTTCTGTAACATTTATTCATGCAGTGCTATGTGTGAATGCTCAGGGAGAAGTGATTAAGTGGTCACATCATTTGTGTGAGCTCGTGGTGGAAATCCACCAGCAGATAAACAGGTTCATATATGGTCTTCAGTTTAATCTATACAAAGAGAAAGGCCTATATAAATTAGAATCAAACCCTCCTGTTTAGGGATCACCATGTCTCTGGGACATTTAAAAAATATTAGAGGAACCTGATTCTAGAATAAGGGGATATAAGAACAGTATGGCTATTGAAACTTCGGCCCATGCAATCCATTTGGCAGGAATTAACCAGGGGTTAAACCAGCATTGATTATTATGACATCAAACATTGTTGAAAAACAAAACAGGTCTTCTCTTCTTCATTGGATAACCACAGAGGTCTCAAACATGCTCTGATGGCTTGATGGAGACAACTGCTTTTTTTTAACTTTCCCCAGAATATAACATGGAGTGTTTCTCAAAAATCTTAAAATAGAGGGCTTAGGCTTTTTGCTTACAAATCCTTGGAAGAAAATTATATTCTATACCAGCTCCTAACTATCCCAAAATAAACCCAAAGGATTTTGCTTTCATGGTTAAGAAAGGTTTATATGTTTTCTTCAAATGTTAGAAATCAGTGGGTCCCTCTAGCCCACAATGTCCCCCCAGTTCCACACTCACCTCTGGGAAGGGAAAAAGGGAGGGAGGAGAGGCAACACAAAGACCTCCTCAGCTGACCCAAACCCCAAGGCCCCGGGCGCTCTGTTCAGCGAAACCTCTAGTCGGATAGAGCAGCCAAGGCACAGCTGGCGCCATCCCTGGCAGGCTTCAAAGACGACTTTCCACTTCGGCAGGAGGCCCACCCGGGACGCAGCACACAAGGTCCTGGCTGTATGCTCGGGCAAGAGGCAGGACCACACTCAGGATGGATACTGTGGACCAGGTGATGAAGCCCCAAGATGAGATGTGTTCACCACGCTGTAGCCACAAGGGACACACATCTGCCAGTTCAGACCATAAACTCATTATTCCCAAAGAGAGCGAGCTGTTGGGCCGAGCTGCAGTCTGGGTCCACAGTTTTCCTGCGGCCAGACACAACGATCCCCTCTGGGGTCTCTTTGGTTTTCTGAGGTGAGTTTTTCACATTCTTTAATTTTTGCTTTCCCTTTTCAGGGTTGAAGGTTCCTCTGCTGATGAACTGAGGCTTGTCTTCTAGGGATTTGGTCTGGCCGGATGGCCCCTCCATCCCGAGGGCCTCACCAGCTGAGGAAGCTCGGTAGAAAGGAGATTTGGAGTAAATCTGAAATCGTCTTCTGGTCCCCTGAGAAGATGCAGTGCCAGATGAACATAAAGAAGAGACTGAGGAGTCCACTGAATCCAGTGAGCCTTGCTGCTTTTTGAGCTGCTTCCGCAACTTGCTTGAAGGTTCAGACTTGCCAGCTGCTTTCGCAGAGATAAGGGCTAAGCTTCTCTCTAATGCAAGAAAGAGACCAAAGTTGTAAATGACAGTTCTCTCTGAAGCAAATCATTGTGTGATGAAGAGGTGTCACTGCTCACATGTGAAAATGGGTGGGCTAAGATCTGGAAGGTCCAGGGTGACCTGCTTTGGGCACAGTCACAATTCAAGAAGAGTTCATCACCCATCTCTACACCATCCATATTATTTCAGAATCAACCCTGAGGAAGCTGGAGTGGGACCATGCCATTAGAAGAGGCCTACAAACATCCCCATCATTTAAAACACTGCCAGAATACGTAGTAAATACCACATCTCGCAGAGACACGGCAGGCAGTTAAAGACTTCCCTGGGTCCGGTCCCATCTCATAGCAGGGCACGGCTCCCACTACCTGCCTTTAGAAAATGGGTCATGAGTCAGTAAGATAACATGAGCTATGACTGCTGGCTTTCCTCTGTGGTAAATACAAGGAAACATTACATTACAAAAGAAATATGTTACACTGAAGGCTTGGTCTGATGAACAATTTATACAGAAGCCTTAGGAGGACTGGTATATTTCAGCTCCTTAGGACTTTGTCATCTTTTCATGTAAGGTCAAGGGCCTTCTTGAAAGAGACTGTCTTTGCTTGGGAATCCTTATTCCTCCTCTGCAAAACAAATCTGGAGTCTTTGGTCTAACATGTTCATTTACCTGATTTCTCAGAGATGGCACCTTCAGACTCAATATTCAAATTTTCTGAGCTATCAGCAGTCCCTATGGAGGCCTCAGACTCAAGGGTTTCATCATCAGAGGCACGTGGTTCCAGGACAAGCATCTCAAATGTTAATTCTTCCCTGTAAGATACAATCAAGAAATCATTATCGTTTGATGAGAAATGGAAGGAAGCCAACAGGAAAGCAGACCTTCTGTGAATGTCAGGAATTTAGGTAGCAAAAACAGTCACATTTCTTACTGTTCCCTTGCAGGGTAGTGATAAGGACCTGTACACCTGCTGTGAAGAGCCAACTCATTGGAAAAGACCCTGATGCTAGGAAAGATTGAAGGCAGAAGGAGAAGGGGATGACAGAGGATGGGATGGCTGGATGGCATCACCGACTCAATGGACGTATGTTTGAGCAAACCAAGGGAGATAGTGAAGGATAGGGAAGCCAGGCTTGCTGCAGTCCATGGGGTCACAAAGAGCTGAACATGACTTAGTGAATGAACAAGAAGTCACAGTCACAGTGAAGGTTAAAGGCAGCAAAGTCTGGGACCTATAATGGAGCTAAGGGTGAGGCAGAGGAAGATGCTAAAGCTGTAAGATCCTTTGATAAAATGAACTCTGGGCTGCTAATCAGGAGATTGGGATTCTAAACTCACTCTGAACTCAATCATAATACATCAGGAAAGTACTTTCCTCTTTCTGGACCTTAACTTTCTCATCCACAAAAACAAAGAGACTAAACTAGATGGTCTCTAGGATTCCTTCCAGCTCTTAAAACTATTTTCTACAAAATTTTATTAGCTGCTACACACTCTATCTTCTACCTTCTTTGGCCAAGGAGAGACCTCTAGATCTCCTAAATGAAGTAAAACAGACTGACCTCTTCTGTCCTTTTAAACCTTTGCCATCTCCACTTAAGACTACTATTCTCTACTCCTTATCAATCACTCACCTCCTCTCAGCCATGCCTCCTCATTCCTTGAAGTCTTTGGTACCTGGCTCCTAATCTTACTTTCTCACTACTGCCTGACACCACTCTGATTCATTTTAATCAATATCTTTGTTAAAAGCTCATGTTAATACCCTAACACCAAAGTTCCTTTAACATCTGCAATTCCTAATAACCTTTTCTCCACTCTGTAGGCAATTTTCCCCAGTGGGCAGACCCTGGAGTTTGTCGATCCCTCCTCCACTCTGTTCACTGCCTCCTTAATCCTTTCAAGTTTAACTCCATATTCATCAATTCTCCTCCTTTTCAGAGCTCTCTTAGCTTCTCTTCCACTCTACCCAGCTTTAAACTATTCATCCTTTAATACCTCCGATACCTGGCATGAGATTCATGGACAATCTTTGCAAGGATAGTCTTGCCAACAATTCACTGCTGCAGTGACAACTGTCATAAGCAATGCACATTCACATCTCTGAGACTATGTTCATACATTTTCCTTTCTCTAGGACTTTCACCTTCCTGGCAAATTCCTATTCATCCTTCAATACTTCCAATGCCATTTTCATCAAAGCTGAATTAGCTCCTCTTTCAGATCATTTTTGTATCAAATAGCTATCTGCTCATCAAAGTAGACCATTTTTACCTTATCATGTTCAGCACAGTTGAGCCCAAGCTGCTTTTGCAGCTTATCCAAATTCTAGAAGCAATCCTGACAAGCAAAAAGTACTTTTAAAAAGTCATAATCTGGAAGGAGCCAAGATGGCGGAGGAATAGGACGGGGAGACCACTTTCTCTCCTGCAAATTCATCGAAAGACCATTTGAATGCTGAGCAAATTTCACAAAACAACTTCTGATCGCTAGCAGAGGACATCAGGCGCCCAGAAAAGCAGCCCATTGTCTTCGAAGGGAGGTAGGACAAAATATAAAAGATAAAAAGGGAGTCAAAAGAGCTACGGACGGAGACCCGCCCCCGGGAAGGGAGTCTTAATAGAGGAAGTTTCCAATCACCAGGAAACCCTCGCACTGGCGGGACTGGGGGAAGTTTTCAGCAATCTAACTGGGAGGAAAAATTAAACAAGGCCCACAGATTACGTGCCTAAAAGCAACTCCCAGCAGAAAAGTACCCCAGACACCCGTACCTGCCAGCAACAAGCGGGGGCGGGACGGAGAGGAGCGGGCGGCATTGCTTGGGGTAAGGACTGGCCCGAAGACCCTGAGAGCAATCGGAGGGAGCTTTTTTAAACTGTGGGATAGCAAGGGTCAAAATTAACAGGCCCGAACACACTGCCGGCGGTACGCAAAACAAAGGGACTGAGAAAGTCCAGAGAAGAGCCGGCCCATCGCCGCTGGAGGTTGGAGGCAGGGGGGAGGGGAAAAGGTCAAACTCACACCCTGAGAAGCCACCCCCTCCCACACTGCAAACAGGCCCCCGGTTCCTATCTAAAGACTTCCTGAGACCCGACTGGCGGTGCGCGCTGGGGCCGCGGAGGGAAAAAGCGCGCCGTACCCGGGGAGATTGCGCCCAAGCCTCTGGCTGCCTGGGCCGCTCGACGCGGAGGGAAAAGGTGCGCTGCACCCAGGGAGAGTGCGCCCAAGCCTCTGGCTGCCTGAGCCGCCCGCCGCGGAGGGAAAAGGCGCTCCGTACCCGGGGAGAGTGTGCCCAAGCCCCTGGCTGCCTGAGCTGCCCGCCGCGGAGGGAAAAGGCGCTCCGTACCCGGGGAGAGTGCGCCCAAGCCTCTGGCTGCCTGAGCCGCTCGCCGCGGAGGGAAAAGGCGCGCCACATCCGGGGAGAGTGCGCCCAAGCCTCTGGCTGCCTGGGCCGCTCGACGCGGAGGGAAAAGGCGCGCCGCACCCAGGGAGATTGCGCCCAAGCCTCTGGCTGCCTGGGCCGCTCAGGCCGGGGAAGGCACAAAACGCAGGCGCAACCGAATCTGCGCTTTTGTGGAGTACCCGAAAACTGGAACCGCACTCAACGCAGGGCCCGCTCCATATAGAGCTGCCGGGATCCTGAGCAGTGTAGACGGGGAAAGCACTGACACCCGTGAGCGGGGCAAACCCAGTGTGACCGGAACACGGTGAGTGCTATCCACACAGAGCGGTATCTGTCTGCAGCGCCCCGCCCCCCCTGTAGCAGGACTGAACTGAACTGGCGAACCTAAATAAGAGATCACCTCCGCTCAACTGTGTCAGGGCGGAAATTAGACACCGAAGAGACGGCAAACAGAAGCCAAATAAACAAAGGGAAACGCTTCAGAAAGGACCGGTGCAACAGATTAAAATCCCTGAAGGTAACACCGACTACACGGGAAGGGGCCTATAGATATCGAGAAGTGTAAGCTGGAAAGAGGAGCTATCTGAAATTGAACTGAACCTACACTGACCGCAACAACTCCAGAGAAATTCCTAGATATATATGTATATATATTTTTGATTTAAAAAAAAATTTTTTTTTCTATCCTTTTTTTAATTTTTTTAAATTTTTTCTCTTTTATTTTCTTTTAAAATTCCCTATTACTCCCCCATTACTCCTCAACTTTCATTTTCATATATTTTTACGATTTTTTTAATTAGGGAAAAAAAAATTTTTTTTTCTTTTTTTTTTCTTGTTTTTCTCTCCTATTTCCTTTTAAAGTCCTCTAATACTCCTCCATTATTCCTTAATTTTCATTTTCATTTCACTATAACCTTGCCAAAAAAAAAAAAAGAGAGGGAGAGAAAAACCCTATTTTTTAATCAAACTTCATATACATTTCTAAATTTTTTTGTGTGTTTTTGTTTTTAAATATTGTATTTCAAAGAGTCTAACCTCTACACTAGATTTTTAATCTTTGTTTTTCAGTAGTATGTGATATAAATTTTGGTCATTTAAGAATCCAATATTCAGTTCCCATTTCTATTCAGGAGTGTGGTGATTACTCTCCCACTTTTGACTCTCTGTTTTCTACCTCGGAACACCTCTATTTCCTCCTTTCCCCTTCTCTTCCCAATCCAACTCTGTGAATCTTTGTGGGTGTCTGGGCTACGGAGAACACTTTGGGAACAGATAACTGCGTAGATCTGTCTCTCTCCTCTTGAGTCCCCTTTTTCTCCTCCTGCTCACCTCTATCTCCTTCCTCCCTCTCCTATTCTTCATGTAACTCTGTGAACCTCTCTGGTTGTCTCTCACGGTGGAAAATCTTTTCACCATTAACCTAGAAGTTTTATTATCAGTGCTATATAGTTGGAGAAGTCTTGAGACTATTGGAAGAATAAAACTGAAATCCAGAGGCAGGAGACTTAAGCCCAAATCTTGAGAAAACCAGAAAACTCCTGACTACACGGAACATTAAGGATTAAGAGACCATCCAAAAGCTTCCATACCTACACCAAAACCAACCACCACCCAAGAGCCAATAAGCTCCAGTACAAGACATGCCACGCAAATTCTTTAGCAACGCAGAAACATAGACCTGAGTGTCAACATACAGGCTCTCCAAAGTCACACCTAAGACATAGATCCATCGCAAAACTCATTACTGGACACTCCATTGCACTCCATAGAGAAGAAATCCAATTCCACGCACCAGAACGCTGACACAAGCTTCCCTAACCAGGAAACCTTGACAAACCAATCGTCCAACCCCACCCACTGGGTGAAACCTCCACAATAAAAAGGAACCTCAGACCACAAGAATACAGAAAGCCCACTCCAGACACAGCAATCTAAACAAGATGAAAAGGCAGAGAAATGCCCAACAGCTAAAGGAACATGAAAAAAGCCCACCAAGTCAAACAAAAGAGGAGGAAATAGGGAATCTACCTGAAAAAGAATTTAGAATAATGATAATAAAAATGATCCAAAATCTTGAAAACAAAATGGAGTTACAAATAAATAGCCTGGAGACAAAGATTGAGAAGATGCAAGAAATGTTTAACAAGGACCTAGAAGAAATTAAACAAAGTCAATTAAAAATTAATAATGAAATAAACGAGATCAAAAACACTCTGGAGGGAACCATGAGTAGAATAACAGAGACAGAAGATAGGATAAGTGAGTTAGAAGATAAAATGGTGGAAATAAATGAAGCAGAGAGGAAAAAAGAAAAAAGAATCAAAAGAAATGAGGACAACCTCAGGGACCTCTGGGACAATGTGAAACGCCCCAACATTCGAATCATAGGAGTCCCAGAAGAAGAAGACA